TGACTTAATTTTATTTTAATATTTAAAATATTTTATATTTTCAAACAATTTATCCCTTGTTACAAATAAGAGAGAAATGCTTCGAGGTTACACCAATTTTTTTTTATTTTACATCATTTAGAAATTTAGCTAATAAAAAACAATATACCAATCTTTTTTTTTTTGAACAAAGGTACGATATTCATTAAATAAACAGAATTCGTACAAACTGAGGATAGTGTACAAAATGGGCCTCGATAAAAACCTTGTCGGGAATTTCAACCTGGTCGAAGGAAAAGAGTGTCTCGCACAACAATAGACCTATCCTCAAATGAACAATCAAACTTACAATCCTTCCTCGAACAAAATATCCAGAATTAAATCTAGAGGTTCCTTGAACCACACAATCTCCTCAGTACAAGTAAGCCCTAGCCGAGCAAGCCGATGAGCCGCCAAATTTCCTTCCCGTTGTACATGACTTACCGTCGACTTCGACCACTCCAAACAGAAACATCTCAAATCATTAATAATGAGTCCAAAATTAGACATATCCTTACCTTGACCCTTAATGGCAGCCAATACCAAGCCCGCATCTCATTCAAGTTGAACTTGGACATTGACTGAATATAACCCGTGAACAAACCGTGCAGGGTGCCTTGCTGCTAAGAATTCCGTATGCAAAGCAGACGTGGAGCAATGAATGGGACCTGCTGCAGCACTTAAAAACTCCCCCAAGTGATTGCGCAAAAACAATTCCATACCTACCCCGATGTTACCGGTGATTCCATGCTCCATCGAAATTGCACTTTATCTAACCCTCCACTGGTTTTATCCACTTTTGCAACTCACGTCTCCCCTTCCTTATGTCTGTCTTATGGCACCTATGGAATACCTGCAACCAACCCTCCGTCAGTAATACGATCTCATCCGGATTTGAGTACTTACCGTTCCAAAAAACTTCATTCCGGTATTGCCATAGTGACCAAACCAACATTAGACCAAGCTCAAATCCCACCGGAGGTCCCTGTAAATGCAGATTGGCTAACCAATTCAAAAAACTCACACCCTCCCCACTTTCCACCCGTACACCCAAACCGCGAAACTATACGGCTCTAGTAACATGGCAATCACACAAAACATGCTATATGGTTTCCACCTGGCAACCACATATAACACAACCACTATCGACTGGCACCCTTCACTTACAAAGATTTAACCTTGTAGGCAAAGAATCCAAACATGCATGCCACACACAAATCTTTACTTTCCCTGGAACACAAGCTGTCCACAGCTTGTCCCCATTATTACTAGTGTACGAGTAGGAGCCGTCAACCCCTTCCCTACTAGCAGCAATTATTCCTCGAGCAACATGATAGCACTTTGGACTGTAAATCTGCCATGACGATCATAATGCCACACTCTGCAATCAGCAATATCACGCAAGCTAAGTGGGATCCTTTGAATTAATTCCACTTTCTCTTGAGAAAAAAAGTGAAATCAACAAACTCTCATCCCACTGCTTTACATCCGGCCTCAACAAGCCATCCATCGTGGCTTCACCATTCCAATGTAACGGTGGTGGGGTCAAAATTCGGAGGCATGACTCCCTCGGCACCCAATTGTTCTTCCAAATATTAATCAACTTCCCATTACCCATCTGCCACCAAAGTCCCTTATGGAGAACCGATCTCGAAGCAGCAATACTACGCCAGACATATGAGCTATTAGATGTTACCTGAGCTTCAAGAAAATCTGTGGTAGGGAAGTATCGGGCCTTGAACACCCGATACACCAATGCCTCAGGATTGTGCAGAAAATGCCATGCTTGTTTGGCTAATAAAGCCAAATTAAATGCATAAAGGTCTCTAAACCCAAGACCTCCCTCCTGCTTTAGCCTTACACAACACTCTCCAACTGAGCCAATGTATTTCCCTTTTCTCCAGATTACCACTCCACCAAAACTTCGCTATCATCATATTCAACTCTTCGCAAAAGGATTTAGGGAGTAGAAAACATTACATGGAATATGTAGGTAAGGCATGTGCCATCGTCTTCACCAATAATTCGCGACCCGCACTACTAAGTAAACTGCCTTGCCAACTTTACAACTTTTTCCACACCCTATCTTTCATATACGCAAAGGTTTCTTTTTTCGATTTTCGGACCAAAACTGGCAAACCTAGATATTTATCATGAAAATCCACTCTCCGCATCCCAATACTATCAGCCAATAACTGCTTATCATAAATATTGAGGTTGGGACTGAATGAAACACAACTCTTCTCAAAGTTAACTGCTTGTCCCGAAGCCAACTCATACCTTCGCAATATCTGTTTTATGACTTGGCATTCACCAATAGTACCTTGGGCAAAAAGAAAACTATCATCAGCGAAGAACAAATGATGAATACTAGGAGCAGCACGACACACCTTGATCCCATGTAACTCTCCATCAAACTCAGCCTTCGACAGGAGAGTTGACAAGCCTTCTGCACATAACACAAATAAGAAATGGGAGAAAAGATCTCCTTGTCTTATTCCTCTTTCTGGGTGAACATAACCCACCGGATCCCTATTCAACTTAAAGGAATAAGTCACCGTGGACGCACAGAACATGACCATATGGATCCACCTTTCAGCGAATCCCAACCTTCGCATCATAGCCTCCAAAAACTTTCATTCCACCCGATCGTAGGCCTTACTCATGTCAAGTTTCAAAGCTATAAGCCCATTAACTCTCGATGACCTTTTATGCATAAAATGAGCAACCTCAGCAGCAACCAAGTAATTATCGGAGATTAAGCCCCCCGGAACAAAAGCACTTTGAGTATGAGATATAACCTGCAGAAGAATAAGCTTCAACCTATTTGTGAGGACCTTCGCCACTATTTTGTATAACACATTGCACAAGCTAATAGGGCGAAGTTAAGTCATCATCGTAGCATCTTTGACTTTTGGAATTAATGTAACATGGGTATAGTTAATTTTCTAGATAATATTACCATGACTGAGCATTGACCAAATACCATTACACACATCTTTGCCGACCACTCCCCAATGCTTTTGATAAAAACCTGGTGACATACCGTCCGGACCCGGTGCCTTTGTATGATGCATCTGAAAGACAACACATTTTATCTCCTCATCCGTAAGTGGGCTAAGTATGGACGAATTCATCTTGTCCGTCACCTTAGGCGAGATATGGCATAATAAATCATCAAAACTCTGCACTCCACTTAAACGAAAAAGTTGTGTGAAATAAGACACCACAATTTCCTTCATCCCCCTACGATCCTCCCGCCAACAAGCATTGTCATCCATTAACCCATATAAATAGTTTCGTTTCTGCCTCATATTAGCCTTCTGATGAAAATACTTTGTATTGTGATCCCCTAATTTTACCCAATTTTCCTTCGAACGTTGTCTCCAAAATTGATCCTCTTGTTCAAGCAATTTGTTGAGTTTTTGAATTAGCTCATTTTTCTGCTCGATAGACTTATTAGTAAACGGTTGCCCCAACAAACTCGTAAGCTCATCCTCCACCTCTCTAATTTCCTTTGGCCCCACCTGTGCATTGTTCCGAGCCCAGTTAATAAGTTTCATCTTTGTCATCTTGATTTTCTCAGTAACCTGGAACATTGGAGAGCTATCTACCTCATGGTTCCACCCATCTTGGACCACCTTGGTACAACCCGCACATAAATGCCAGCTTTCCTCACATTGAAAATGTTTCTTTACTCGGATGGGGGAATGCCCCAACCAGTTTAATAATACCGGCACATGATCCGAAGTAGTTTTGTTCAAATGTTGCACTTTAAAATTGGGGAAAAGCTCCATCCAAGCTTGAGTACCCAGAGCCCTATCCAGACGAACCTTAATTCCACCTCCCCTCGTCGTGAACCATGTGAATTTATTTCCTGCGAACCCAAGATCCATCAACCAACATTGTTCCACTGCCTCTCTAAAGCCCTCCATTTGTCTATCTTGGCGAATACTATCACCTTCCTGTTTGTGAGCTTGAAGGATTTCATTAAAATTGCCAATACATAACCATGGTATGGAATCATTGTGTACGAGTGATTTCAACAACCTCCATGATTTAAACCGATCACAAATAGCTGGATAACCATAAAACCCAGTGAATCGCCAATAATCTATATCATCTGGAACACCCACATCAAAATCAATATGGTTTTGAGAGTAAGAATGTAAAAATAACTTTATTTCATCTTTCCAAAGAACACACAGCCCCCTGAACTACCTCTACTATCCACTAAAAAACAATGATCTATTTTTTTATTTTTTTTATTATTATTTTTTTTTATACCAACCTTTAGAACAGCCGCTAATTACTAGTATTGCGTAATTACTAGTAATTACATCATGGACTACTTTATTTGAATATTTATGACACTCTTCACTTCTTTAATTATAAATACATGTATTCTAAATTTTTTTATAAATACGTGTATAACTGAAGCTCTTATAATCAACTCAAGGGGTGAGAAATGATGAGGTATTAAATAAGTCAATAATTAGATTGTAATTTCATAAAATTTAACAAAAGAAAATTACTTTTTTATAAAAGAACAAAATATAATTGAAAGTGTGGGCTGCCAGCTATAAAATAATTCAGATATTATACATGCATATTTTATTCACTAGATTTGAGAGACATTTGTACATCAAACAGCAATTGGCAAAGCCGCAGAATCATCAAATTTATGCAAATACCAAATTTTCATCTGATCACAATCAAACTGCATTCAATAGTGATGTATCCGAGTTTGAATTTCTCTTTTGTAAATAAGAGAAGTTTTTTTTTTATGCGAAAGTATATTGCGACATTTTCTTTTGCCAACAACTGTCATCTACAATATTTTAACTCACGACCAATTGGTTATATGCAAAAGGGGTGTGATATCCACACACCTCATTTTTTTTCTCACACACCTTTTTAATTTTCGGCCGTCGGATCGGATGAATTGAAGAAGATCAACGGACAAAAATCATCAAGAGATGTATGAGAAATAAAATGTGATATGTGGATAGCACACCCCTATGCAAAACTATATTACGACTTACAATGTTCACACTTGTGTACAATTTACATTGGTTTTCACCAACATCAAATTATCTAGATTAAAAATTTAACTGTTTGCTAAGAGCCGTCGGATTCACAATCAACGGCGGCTGATCAATGTGACTTTCTCTAAACGAGGGGTTCTCCCTAGGAATGGTTGTGAGAGGAGGTGACGTTGGCGGAGATGCATAGAGTACGGAGGCCTCGATCACCCCTCTCCACAGAGTTTCTTGGTGTTGGGAGATTCTTTGTGCTCTTAATGCAGTCAAGTATAACCCAGCAGCAAGGAAAACTGTTGTCAAAGCAAACACCCCGGCAGCAGATAACACGCCGTCTCTGAGGACAAGGCAACTGGGTCTTGGTCTGGACCATTTTCTCAAGTGCCCGGACTCCACACTTACCCCGATCAATAGCAAGATCTCTCCAGTAGCAAAACAAACCCTAATTAACACAACCACCCACATAAGCAGTTATAAGCTATAACTACTGAATTTGAGACGATGTTTAAAATATCCGTATCGATAGAAATATCAATATGCAAATTTGTTGAAATATCGATGGATGTATCGATATCGGATGCTTTTGATGGAAATTATGAAGATTTAAAATGAAACTTTAAGGAATGTCAAACACTATTAGACAATATATAATAGTTTATCTGATATTTAACTGCTAGAAATATTGATGAAATCTGTCGATTTTAGTCGAAATTTAAGAGTTTCTTGAATAGGTAGTGACGTTTAGACTTCATCCCTTCTTTCCATATATTTTTTTCTTCTGATTTTTCAGATATTCCCACAAAAATATCGACAACATCGAAGAAATTTCAAACATGGATTTGAGAGAAGTAAATAAAGAAAAATGAAAATGAAGTTACTGTTCATAAAGTTGTACAGAAATTTGTTTGACATGTCCAACTCTGTATTGGATCTTATGATTATGTCGATGATGGTATTAACTAATGGATGTATTGGAGAAGTTATTAAATTGGTCTGATAGCCCTCATATTGTATTCGATTTAGTGGTTATGTTGACGACAATATTGGAGCAATTCCTACAATTAGAGAAGAGCTAAGTGGAAGTGAGGAAAATTGAAATATGAAGGACTAAGAATTAGTGGCATACCAAGTTGCAACAAAGAAAAAGGCAGCTTGCCATTTCAAGCTCTTTGCAGGACCAGAATAATTAGGCTCCCAAAAAACCAAGGCTGCTGGAGGTGAGTTACTAATTGCAAACAACATGTATCCATGTTCCACCACCATGATAACCGAAAGTCCCAGAAATGCACTGGTCGCACATAGCAGCGGCGTTTTCCCGCTGCCGCTGTATACACATTCATTTACCCCGCCCCCCTCCCCTTCATCACTGCTCAACCATGTTACCTACAAAATCATCATCAACCAGCAAAATTTGCTTAGTTTTTTTCATAGTTGGTAATGATATTGTTATGTCTGAACACATTTTTCGGCGTACCTTGGAACGGGTAGCTTCAGCGATTAGAGATAGGATGAAGCAGAAGAGGCCGCAGAGAATGGTTAAGACCATGATGAAAGCGCCGGTTTTGCTACCTAAACCGGTGGTTGGACGACTTGGTGAGAGGTCTGCATGTGTGACTGCCATTCTCTTTGGCATTTTGGAGTCTACAATTATTCATGCAGGCTCAGGAAGTGGAAGATAAAAAAGAAGTTTTAAGTTTTGGAATGTATGAGAGAGAGAGAGGGATGGAATTGTTTGGAACAAAGGTTGCCTTAAGAGCTCAAGATTCTTGGGTTCTTGAAAGACTCATGGGAAAGGTATCCTGCTCGTTTGTTCATATTGAAAGCCAAAAGCGCGTTTACATGAGCATTATATAGTGCTTTTAGAAGAAGTACCACTACTAATTTATGATTGTATTTGATTAAAATTTTTAAAATGTTTATGAGTCATAGAAGCGTTTAAAAAATCAACATTTTTCTACATACTTCTAGTAAAAATGCTTATAAGCAGAAGTGTTTTTGCATAAGTGCTTCTTACGTAAGCATTCCCAAATGGACCAAACATACTAGGTGCTTCACCAGAATGTACTTTAAAGTGATTTTCTAAATCTAAAAATCACTTGAATTTTTAATTATTGCATTATAACACTCGTTTTTTAATAAAAAGTTTATGAGTATATAAAAAAAGTTGAGCTTCTATTATAAATCAATTGACAATGCAGAAAATAACTTTAATTACTTATAATACATGTAGAGGTGGATCTAGAATTTTAATATACACTCAAAGAATTTGTAAGACGAAAATAGAACAAAAAACCAAAGACAAAACATTGTGTTTTAATAGAATTTTAACAATGTCTTTTACTTAAGCAAAACATAGTCGTTTTGTCAGGAGCAGCTCGTCTCATCTTTCTTGCAGTTTCTCTGCAAAATCTGCAACAAACAACCGTGGTTGCAAGGTGTCAACACCATCATCGTAACTTCTCTGCAGATCAGCCACTGCACATTTATGGAACTGCAAAGGTCCCTACCACCTCTCCACCACCACTTTCCATGAGAATCGAGAGGTCTTTGAAGGTCCTTCAAAGGATCTTCTACTTGCTTTCGGAAGATCTTGGGACCACTCGAGTCCCACAATAGCTATGAATTGGGTTCCAACATAAAATTAATTGGCAATTTAGGAAGTTATACAAGATCATATAACCCCATAGCTAGACTTGTCCTCACCGATGTGGAATAAACTCTCCACAAACCATAAACTCTCAACAATAAATCCTCCTCTAAATACATAAAAAGCTCTTTATTTCTCAAACGTGAAATTAATACTCTCAACAGTATAAGTGTTTTTTACATAATCATTTTCAAATAACCAAATTTTATTATAACAACTAATCTGTCATCAACCGCACAATATTTATAGTACTTTTAGCATCTACAAAATTAATTCTAACCATATATATGTGTGTGTGTGAGACAAGTTCAATCACTTTCATTTATAATAGGGTAAAAACGAAAACGATTTGGTTCTTTTTCTTTTTCTTTTTCCCGAATGATGTTTATATATATATATATTCTTGGCTAATCATTTAATATTGTTTCATTTCTTTAGACCCAAAAAAGCCTTTACGTTAATTAAATAAAGGGATATTTTGATATGAATCTAAAGTAACTAAAAATTGGATTTATTTTAAAGATCAAAAGTAACTAAAAATTGAATTTATTTCGAAAGTAAGCTTATAAAATTGGACCTATTTCAAACTTTCCCTTAAATTAATTGATGCCAATGCCAATATGCCATGTCGGTCGATTAAGTATGTATTCTTCCACACATTCTTTCTGCATGGCAATGGAAATGGAACACCGACTAGCTTAATCCTAATATTTGTCATAAGCTTTGAAATTCTTTTATTTTTCAAATAATATTCCTAAAACAATAAAAAATATTCCTCATTAGCTTTGAAATTCTTTGATTTTTCAGCCATCTAATATTGACAAAGAAGAAAGGCATCAAAACTCCAAAGTTGGAAAAGCCAAAATCCAAAAGTACTTGCTAGTAAAGAAAAGGAAGAATATTTGGATGTTGGTTGGCAATGGCATTATGCGATGCATTTTATTTAAAAATAACGTTAGAGAGATTAAATTTTTAAACTAAATTTGTAAACTAAATGATGTGTCATCAATAAGAAACAAATATTGTTAATTGACACTTAATTAATAATCCCAACCACATCATTTGGTTTTTAAATTTGATTTACAAATTTTAGCATTCCCTTTATTTATTTTATCTATAGAGTAATGCTAAGAAGATTAAATTTCTAAACTAAATTTGCAAACTAAATGATGTGTCACCAATAGGAAATGAGCACGTTTATCAATGTTTAAGTAATAATCCAATCATCGACTTCCATATCATTTGGTTTACAAACTTTAGTCTACACATTTTGTAATACCCTGGAAATTTAAATATATGAATATGTGGGGAAAATTGAAAAGAAATCGATTTATGGTTATGGAAAATTTAATTGAGAACTTTTAAAGTTTCATTTCTGGAAATTATTATAAATTACGTATTTGTATTCTTGAGATTTTATATGAATTTTCGAGAATTTATAATAATTTAATTTAGTTTAGTTTTAAATTAAACTAGTTATGAAGTTGGAAGTTTGGAAATTATTTATTTAAAATATGTAGACCATTCAAGGTCACAATTTATATTTTTGAATAGAGCTCGATCTCACGAACCTGTGGGCGCAAACCGTTCATGAAACAGAGTTCTAACAAAGAAGTTATTAACGCTTAAAGTCATGGACATTTTAGTAATTTTATTCATTTTAGAAGGCTCCAGAAAATCTGGAGCAATGAGTTGTGCCACGTGTGTGGCTGGGATGAAAACAATTGGAGAGATGGATGGTTGTGATTAAAGGAAAATAATAGAAATGAGGGTGAACAATGGGGAGAGAGAGGAGAAGGAGGGGAACCAGACCCTCTCATTCGACCCGGTTTTCCGACCCGAGGCCCACGCACACCCAATATAGATTTCGGTGTTTTTTTTTCCGACGAATTGAGTACCACCACCACCCTTCTTGACTCCTCTCATTGAAACGAATGGTATCCTTCCACATTTGGCTCGGTTTTGATCATGATTTCAGAAGAAAAATGAGATGGACCCGTGAGGGTTTCAGAGTTTTTTTACAACGAATCCATTGTCTCCGGTCACCACAGTTCCCACCACCTCCTCCAGTTGACTTCCCTTGAACCTAGGAGCAAGGCCCAAACACTAGCAGGGGTGTTGAAACATTAATGGAGTTGAATCGAATCCCACCATTTCTAGGGTTTCCAGCGGGTTTGAGTGAAATTGGGGCACTTCCCACCCAAATTGGACTTAGCCACATGTATAAAATTTACTCCACTCATTGAGATCTACTTGCCTGTAAAATTTGGTAATTTTTAGAAATAGTTGAATTTTCCGACGAGCCGGGGCGGCCAACTGCCACCCACGGCAGCGGGTGCGACGGCACATTGTCAGGGAGTCGACATTGTGTTATTATGCTAATTTTGTTATTCTAATTAGGCTTTTGAGACCTAACTGCTGTGGATTGAATATTAATATGATTGTGGTATATGTTGAATTAAATGAATATATTCGGATCTGGTTTGAATTTTGGAAATGTGAACTACGAATGGCTTGATCCCTGTTTAGGGTACGTAGGCAGTCTAACGAGATGTTAGATGCAGCCATGCAATAAGTGAGATTAAATAAACGAGACAAAGCTTTGATTGAGAAAGTGAACTAAGTAAGGAGTTTGGAATTTTATTATAAAAGGAAATCTTATGTTTTGTACATATAAATTCTAGTTATAAATTGTGTGAACGTTTAATAAATTTAAGCAGGAAATTATGTAATTATGGTAATTGGACAATTGAGTTTGATCTCTTGTTGGGAAATAGAGTGAATATGAAGGTATCGGTGTTGAAGTAAAAATATAAATGTACGTTTTGCTAAGTAAGTTTGGTGGGTACTTAAATTTTGTTTTTAAAGAACAAAGTGTACCGATAAATAATCAAACAAGAGAAGTGAATTGGGCCTATCATTGGAAATATTTCCCGAAAATAAATATTTCGAGGTTGGGGCGTTTCAAATGGTATCAAAGCAAATGATCATACTCCATGATATGCAACCTTCTTGAGTCTTGTTGGCCATCGATCTATTTTTATTAAATGTGAATTGATTCATGGATTGGTAATATTTGTGAAAAAGTGATTTGAATTGCTTATTGGATTGTTTGTTAAAATGAGGGCTAGTAGGAGACCATGACCCTGATTGGTTAATCCGCAATAGGGGTCATTATTGGTCCTACTTGGTTAATCCGCGATAGGGGACCATATTATTTGTGGATCATGCTTGGTTAATCCACGATAGGCGATCCTTATGGCCATAAATACTTAGAAGTGATCATGTTTGGTTAATCCGCAATAGGTGATCACTGCCTAACAGTTCTATAGGTGTGACTCTGCTTGGTTAATCCACGATAGGGGGTTACTACCTACTTGGTTATATTGGTCCTGCTTGATTAATCTGTGATAGGGGACCATACTATTTATGGATCGTGCTTGGTTAATCTGCGATAGGCAATCCTTATATCTTTGGTATGACCATACATACACTTAGGGGTGATCATGCTTGGTTAATCCGCCATTTGTGATCACTGCCTAACAGATGCGTAGGAGTGACTCTGCTTGGTTAATCTGCTATAGAAGGCCACTTCTTGTTTGGTTATATATGTAGGCTTCGGCCGAACTGCGTCCCTCTAGCCCTAGTTTTTAATGCACATATGAACGATGGTTTTTGAGAATCTTGGTGGTTTCGGAGTTGTTAGAGACTGGACTATGTTTTCATAATTATGAACTTATCTTTGAGGTTTATAAACTGTGATAGATGGTCTTTGTTGTTATTGAATATCACATACTTGTATTATTGTCACTCACCCGATCTTCACATTTATCCGAGTTCTAATTGGCCAGTGCACCATTCTCATGGTGTAGGCACTGATTATACATGTGATAGATTTGGGTAGATTACGAGGAACCGCTGAATATTTTGGATTCCGTTGAGTGTTCTGAAATCTTTGCTCTTGTTCATTTCCATAAGGTTAATCTAGAACCCTAGATTCAAGTGAATGAGAATTAGATACACCATGTTTAATTACTTATAATTCGAGTAGGAAATTATGTAGAGTTCCTTAGCTAAATTCCTGAAATGATATGTTTCTGCATTGATTGATTAACGTAGTTAAATACTAAGATTCTGCATCTTTGG